AAAACCTAATTCACTTTTTACGCGACAATGCTGACGAACGATCGAATTTCGTCAGCAAGTTAGATCGTTAAAACTGCAATCAAGTGCAGTTTCACATATATAAAATCGCCGTCGCGAGATCACGACGGCGGGTCTAAAACTATCAGTCACAAGAAACGGACGTATGTCCGTTGGGACCACAAATCTAGAAGAACGCGAATTATAACAATTCGTTAAAAGTGAATAAGAGTAACTTGGGGCTCCGTGATACTACACTAAGGCAAGGATTCCTGACGGAACCTAGATTACATAGAAGTAAGGGAATTTGTAATGAATCAAGAGATCAATAAATATGTGGAAGACTGTTTTTTATTAAAAAAAAACGTCAAAGGATTATTCCCGGATTCCCGGCCTAACTCCTTGGCAGATCCCGAACCCGTGCCCTATCACCAAGGGCACAACACAACAATTATTGCTAAATTTTTTAAGTCTTTCGTTAATACTATTAAAAATTAATTCCAATGGATAGCCGTTAATTAAAAGTAGGGAAATCATTTCCTCGATGTTCTTGTGCCAATATTGTGGGTGTGTTAACTTTACAACTCTGTCAAATAAGCCAATGATAACATCTTTTTTGTGTGCCATGGGATGATGCGAATAAAAACTTAAATATCTGCCCGAAAAAGTAGGTTTGTGGAACAAATCAAATTTAATAAAATTGTTTTCCGATATTAGTTTAACGTTTAGGAAATTGATATGATTATTTATTCCTCTTTCCAATGTGAATTGTAATCTGCTATGCATTGAGTTGAATGTCTCCAAAACTTCGTCTAAATGATTTTCTGGAGCCGTAAATAGTATGTCGTCAACATACCTAAAATAAAACGGTAATTTGTAAGGTAGACGTTCGATTGCTGAATTTTCCAAATCTTGTAACACAAATTCTGCTATTATTGGAGAGAGAGGAGAACCCATTGGAGTGCCAAAAATTTGCTTGTAAATTACTTTATTAAAACTAAAATACGTTGAATTTAAAACTAAATTGATACCAATTAAAAATTCTTCTATTGGTATGGAATTGTACCTTCTAATCCATTCCCATCTGTTTTTTATGCTTTCTATTGCCTTTTCAATGTAACGAATATAATTTTTAAATGTAACGAATATAAGAAGATTGTAATATCCGAATTAGTTTTATAAGTAACGATTGTTTATTAATATGTTCCGAATTTTATAATAACTAACTACTGAAGATGACCACAACCAGATGGTCGAAACGTCTAGATTGACCTAAACATTTGTCATAATATATTAATAAATTAAGCACGAAAATCCAGCTTGGGCTCTGTAGCTTGTTGTTAATAATTTATTTGAATAATTTGAGCCAATATTATAGTTTTAATTTATTATCTAATAACATGCATTTATTTTTGTTTATACCTGTACGAGTCGAGAGCAGCTAACATCCACAATGCAATATACAGTTGCCTGCAAGCCGATATAGGATCCCTTCCAGGATTGTCTGGAACTTTTTCCAGTACTGGTCGTATCAAGTTTAAAATATATTGGAAGGTATTTCTACGTAGACTGTAAAAATGTTATTAGTATATATAATTGTAATGATATAATTGTATATAATTTTATTTAAAATACTAATATTTTAGAACATTATGTA